GCGGATCTGGGCGCGGCATCGGACCCAGAAAGAGGAACTCCCATCTTGAGATGGCTGTGATTGAACGTAACTTGCTGTTCTGAGATGCCAATCACCGTTTTCCCGCCAAAAGTAGGCGGCAAGGGCCTACAGGCAGCCAGGTAGCAGCCCCCAGACCGGAGAATAAAAGCACGGATGGTGGTTAAAGCTCACTCTTCTGAGGAGCAGTGTTTGCGGTCACACCGCCGCTTCACTGGTTGAAAAGGTATCCGAGGGGGGATGGTGATTGAAGAAGAGGATGAGGATGATGTACTGATGGAGGCAGCCAAGCTTCCGCCATAGCTGCCACGTGGCATTGCGAGCAAGCTTCCACCATGGAGGTGAAGTTGGCAGCTATGGCGGAAGCTTGCTCGCAATGCCACGTGGCAACTATGGCCGAAGCTTCCTCGCAATGCCACGTGGCAGCTATGGCGGAAGCTTGCTCGCAATGCCACGTGGCAGGTATGGCCGAAGCTCGCAAGCAATGGCAATGACGCTTGTATCGTCCATGAATGTCTCATCTCTTCAAGAATGTTCGTGTTCGATCATCAGTCAGGCAATACATTTGTATCAGTGGCGTCAGTGGATTTCAAAGAGGCGGTCCTTGTGACCGGGAAGCATGAGTTTGTGGCATAATACCCACCTGATGACATAGCAACTGCCAGGTCTTCCCAGATTTGATACGCGCTTCACTGTTGATAGCCTGAGTTCCGCAAAAGTGTCACCTAGAGTGGGTAGATAAGTGTTGGTGACAACGGATTGCGTAACGTGGTGGGGAATCAGAAGTGGATTCGCCAGTGAAAATCAAAAGAAGACCTTTCCGCCTCCTTCCCGTCCGCCTTCTCTTCCTCCTCCTCTTCCTCCGCCTGCTCTTCCTCCTCCTCTTCCTCAGCCTGGTCCTTCCCTTTTCGCTTGTGTGCGTTCACGACCTTCCAGTTGTATTGAAGTCAGCACCCGCCATCATGGCCATGGTTTGAAGCGAAACGAAAACAACTACGCCCTCCTCAGCTGCGTCATCCTTCTCCCGCAAGGTAGTTAAGATAAGGAGGAAGAGGAGGAAGAGGAGGAAGAGGAGTAAAAGGAGGAAGAGGAGGACGAGGAAGAAGAGGAGGGAGGAAAGCGACGATTGGTGCAGGACGAGCGCCGTTGTCGCTCGATGGGGAGCAGGAGGTGCTGGCGCAGTGGAAAGGAGAAGGAGGAGGAGGAGGAGGAGGAGGAGACTGATGAAGAGGAGGTAGAAGTACAACGATCAACGCAAGGTGATTGGCGAAAGGAGGAAGGGAAGGGCGGGATGCGACACTGCGGCATCAAAACCACGGCGACGGCGACGACGACGACTGGCATTCACGACCATGACTGCCCCATGTGCGTTTGGATTCTCCGAGGAAAATAAAAACACTTTTAAAATATCTTTTTCAATTAGAAAATCACCAAATACGGCGTAGAGAGAGAGAGAGAGAGAGAGAGAGAGAGAGAGAGAGAGAGAGAGAGAGAGAGAGAGAGAGAGAGAGAGAGAGAG